AATCACTGATTTTACCTTAACCTAATAAATTCAAGATTTTAGGCATGTTTTCAACCATCCATGTTGACACGGCAACGATCGAAATCTTTCGTTTAACCCAATAAATTATTGTAATGTTTTATAAATATGTTTTGTCTGCGCCAAATTTGAACTTTATGACTGCAACTAGTCGTAAATAACACCCCAATGAATCGTAACGATACACAACCCATCAAAATTTGTTCAGCCACCTTAATGGAGGTTCAACTGCATGTCGCTACGAAAGCGGTTATTAAAAACCTTGCCATCACAAGATCGAGAATTTGCTGACTGATAATAACGAACCTTTCAATGGGTCGACTTGTTTTTGTAACCCTTGTGAAGACTCTTTTAAAATATTTGCTTCTTCCTTGCTTTAATTCATCATAACATTCGGCTTTTAAGAATACTATTACAGGCCAAGGCAGAGTTCCACAATTTTTTTTCTTGTCCAAGAATCTTCAGGGGCGGATCTAGGGGGAGGGTGAAGGGGCTGCACACCCCCTCCCCTTGAGATGACTTGTGGTTTTCTTTTCTTTCTTTCTTTCTTTCTTTCACTGTGCAGTCCGCTTCACAGTCATACAAAAACTAATGTAACGTTTTTTGATATGTATTCTCAGCAGTTCACTCATTGTCTAGTCAAAAGCCTTCTTCTTCGTATTCGTATTCTTCGTTACGCTATTCCTTAGTGGTGTACCCCCTACTAAGAAAAATCCTGGATCCGCCCCTGATATTCCTCGCACGCACACCCAAGTCATAGCAACAGCACCTCCATAAGTTTTTTCCAAGCATTTCAAGTTTCTTTTCTATTTAGTTAGGTTATATTATAATGATTCCACAGCTTACATCACAAGAAAAAATCTCGGGGTTTAAAACGGGTTTTGACAGACCGGCATTTATTTGGTCATATCTTCGAGGAGACCTTTAGGAGTGGTTTGTTATGATTCTCGGTGAAATCTTTAAAATGGACGTCTAATTTAGATGCAATTTAAGAGAGCATTTGTAGCCTAGGGAGTAACCTTGATAACCTTTTTAATTCCGGAGGAAACGTACTCCTCTGTAACCGGCGGAAGAAATGGGTGTAGTTTTCACGCCATTTCGCCAGTTTGAAAATGAGTTAGGAATTTTGCAACTTTGGGTGTTAAATACGCACGGTACTTTTTAGTCTTTTGTCTAAAGTGTGTCAATTAAGATTACCGTAATATTAGCCTGAAATTGGTGGCAATTTGACGGACTTTTTTGTCGAAAACTCGCTGAAAAGGAAGCTTATCCCGGTTCCATTTAGTATGTTGAATTGAAACAGGTAATACGAAAACATTCCTCGCTGAAAGGATATGTCATTTTGTACAAGTAAGAAAATCGAAGATGAAAATCATTTCTTACTAGGTCCTCAGATCAGAGACATATTTTTTCTCGAAACTAGAAACTAAAATTATTTAGTTATGATTATTTAATTAACTGTCAATTAGTTTCATTTATCTCGCAATGCTTTGAATTAAGGACCAATATCAACGTACAGACATTTTTGGTGTTGGTGTTGGTGTTGGGTTATGAGAAGTACCACAACGTACAGACATTAAGGAGGCAAAACACAGTTTTACAGATTGTGAATCGCTAACATTCATTGGGTTGCCATTTAAGACTCGTTGCAGGTATAAACGTCAAATTTGACACGGACAAAATTTATTTCTAAGACTTTACTTATCTTATATTAGGCTGAAGGTAAGATTTCGTTCGTTTCCATAGCAACAGGATAATTTAAACAGGCCTAAAATTTTGATTTTTAGTAGTTTACCCTAAATCCTCTTATTAGAATTTCTTATGAATTTGCACATAGCTTACGATTAGTAACCCTCTTTTTAATGAAACAATTTAACCAAATTGTATCAAAACGTTTTTGAATTTTTTTAAGAAAACAGCTTTCATGAGAAATATGATTTTGTCACAAAATTCCTTTCTGCAACTTTCATTTTGAGGATTTCATTGACTGAAAAGCGATAAGAACAGTATTTCTGCCAAATTTCGTAGTTTAGTTGAGTTGATTTTAAAATATTGTCCTTTCTTTAGCTGCCTATGAAAATTAACAAAAACGAGCTCTCTCACATTGTTCCCTAAATACACATGCTTTACTCTTGTGTGCGCGCCGGGATCACGCGATGTCAAAGGCGATGAAAACAGAGTAAATTTTTTTAAAAACAACTTTTTCTGGGCATATTTCCCAGCTCGTCTGTATATCCTCATGATAAAGATGTTTAACAGTAGAAGGACCATTAAACATTTCTAGAGAAATTAGAACTGTCGAGACTCGTCATCTTCTAGCTGTCTCCTTGGACACGTGATAAAACTCTTTTTTCCGTCTCCTTTGGATAATCATTCCCTTCTGTTTCTTCAAATTACAGCTGATAGATGCTGAACCAAAACTAAATTTACCCTTTTACTCCTCTTAGTTATCGAGATGAAAACATTCATTTTGCTTAGAAATAAACCTTCCGCACGATACATTTCATTCGCCGGCAATAACTAAACACAGTGGAAAATATTTATCACATTCCGTCTATAAAGTCTATAAACAAAAGGATAAAATGACAAGCCAACCTAGATAAAAGGTGGGCGCTAAATGTAACCCTTAATCTTTCGCAATTGGGCTCAGTGGAAAAGCAAACTTGTCGAACAACCGCTTAGTCGAACTCAAGGAAGATGTGTGCTTCTTTAACCGTAGTGCTTCTTTTGCCCATGGTGCTCTTATGTGTAGATGCATCTGACCATCGCAGCGAGCCGATGTTAGTGACTATCAACAAAAGAAACCTCGCTTTGAATTTTAATAGCTCGGAAGAAGACGCCAACGAGGTGTTCTCAAATATTTACAACAACTTGTTTCAAGAGGACGGCACATTGAAGAAGAAAAGGGCTGCAATCAATCCTGATAACGTTCAATGCTATAAAGGAAAAGGTAAGTGAACTAAACTGAACTAATTTATCAGGGAACGGGTGGCCTTAGGGTCGTCCTGTTTTTCAATGTATGTATGATGTAGTTGAGATTTAAGGCTTCTTCAGTTGTACTAACCGTCTGTACCTCATCGCTTATCTTCCATTCCTGCCTTTGAGTGAATTAGATAGAACCTGCGCTGAAATTTTTGTCAAACTTTACCCGATGGTTTTTTTATGTTATGGAAACTTTAATTTTGAAATAAAATTAGGTGGGGGGGGGGGGGGAAGGGGTAGGGGGTAGGGGGGTTTTCCAAACCCGTTTAGGAGCAGGAGCAACTTATACCAATATGACTTTTTCTGCGCCGGGAATTAGTCTCTGTTTGTTCTATTCTAGAGAAAGAAAGTTACTACTGCTATTGGAAAAAGAAAAGAAAGGAGAAGTCGAGTCGGGCAAAAGCCACCATAATTTAATGTACACGCGCTTATCACGCGTAAAATTATGCGCAGTGAGGATGCGCAATGCAATACAAAGGGATAACCTTAATGAGACTTGCTGCTTCTCACTTCCCACATTCTATGCTCAGGTACTGATGAAGCTGGAACCATATCCTTTGACTTCACTGATCTTCACACCCAATACGGCGGAATTATGCAAAAGGCGGAGATTCGACTGAAGGTGACCATCCCAACATCCAAACGGTCTCACCTAGCCTCTCTGTACGATGTCATGACGAAAGAGGAGTTATCCCAAGCCAAAATTGCGCCAGGTGCTAGTCAGCAGTGGCTTACATTTCCAGGCACGCCAGAGCTTTACAAGTGGCTTAAAAAGCCCAGAACCAGCCATGCCATACAGTTAGTGGTGATAGAGGAAAAGATGGATGGAGTTTTGCGACTGTCCACTGAAAAAGAAAGGGGCGTGTTTTATCTGCCACTGTTGGTGATTTATACGGCCAGGCTACCACCAGTGAAAACAGGTCGTCAGCAAGGGAGGTACGTATAAGACAAAGATTTGGATTTTGCTGTACTCTTTTTTTGCAAACATTAGTGAAATGCATGGGTTTTTCCCGGTTAAGGCTATTTTCACGCTATACCTGATAGCTTTTGTGCCTAGTCAGGGGCACCCAACGAGAATATAGTTCAAGACCACTTAAACATAGATAGTAAAACTTCTTTTAGTATTTAAACGGTAGATACAGGCATATTTTTATCCCCTTAAAATTTTTCATCTGTTCAGATTTCCTGGCTGAAAGTCTAGTGATCCGAAAATTATAGGGATCAAAACTTACCTTTTCGAAAATTTCAGCTAGAAAAAATGCTCCCGAAAATTCTAGGTGACCTTTTTAGGGTAAAAATCGGTTAAAAATGAGCAATTGTACCATTTTTTAGAGGTTCGAAAATCCTAGGAGAGGCAGGCAAGTAAGAAATTTTACAACAAATGTTCCGAAAATTCTAGATCTCAAATCGTCTCCCGCACAGATATTTCCCGAAAATTGACGTTGGGTACCCCTGCCTAGTGCAAGAAAACCATACCAGATAGGGCTTTGGTTCACACATAAGAATGGTGATTTCGGCGCGATTTCAGTAACGGAGCGAAGCTGCTTTGCGCCGCGATCGCTGAAGTGGAGGGTCACATATCGGATACGAGTTCATACTATAACGGATACTTTTCATGTCGGAACGAAACGCTTTCCGGTATCAGGGTATGAACCGTAGCCAAAATGAAAAGCCACCTCTTAAATTATATCATTTTCATATTTACAGAGCAGAGTGCTTCAAATATCAATCTTTTAATAGCTATCACGTTCGCTTACGCGAAAACGCTTTGAATTAGTGGTATTTTCTTCCTAAATCTTAAGACAATTTTCTCACAACTCGGTAAGTATATAGCAATTTCGGACAAGATGATCGAAATGATTAGTATATTCTTGAGGCAGTACTCCGAGGAAACATTCAAAACTTTTAAATTTATGACAATCCGTAGTGTGATAAAAACAGTATTATGGCTGTAAGGTATGAAATTCTCCTCTTGAAACCAATTCACTTTTAACGCATTCGTTCTTGTCCGCCCAACACTTTGAAGTGTTCTATTTAATTTTAAACAAGACTGACGAGTCAGTAAGCCAAATTCGCACGGAAAGGTTGCAAATGAGAAGCTATTTGAACGAGGTTGTTTGAAATATCAAGGGTAAAAAAACGATGAATTCTACATTTGTTTCAGTTTAAATAGGTAACTTGTTTAATTGGACTTGTGTATAATATCAGTATTTTTTTTGTTACAGAGATAGACGCTCTGACGACGAATCGTCAATGGGGAAAATCACTTGCTCTAAACGTGATCTTTTCTTGAACACCAGCCAGGTCTTTGGAGATTCAGTGGTGTACCCTCTAGCCTACAATGCATACACTTGTGCAGGAAACTGCGAGAGGCCATTCAGCGATAATTATAACCGAGACTCGTTTACAAATTATGCACTTGTGCGATATCGATTCCATACACTGCAGAACAAAACCCACCACAGCTTTGATGTTTTCTGTGTTCCGTTCAGTTACAAAAGTCTTACCGTGATGCACTACGTTAACGAAGCAAAAACTCAAATTGCCATCCGTACTTTTCCAGAGATGATTATCGCGAAGTGCAAATGCGCCATACATGAAAAGTCATTGAACGTAACTAAGTATCCTTTCCGACTGTAGGCACTTCAAGCCGGGCCTGAAGCACTTTTCTAAGGGGTAATTACTTGGGAGAAATAGCCATGCTCTTGAAATTTCTAAATAAAAAGGCAATGATATATTTTTTGGACGGTTTAAAAAACGAGCAGGAGTGATAATACACGACTGCGAGTTTTTTGAATGGCTTCAAAATCTCTGATATAGATCAACTCATTCTTGCACTGATATTTAGATTAGGGGTTATTTTGGTCTAAAAAATTCGACGTAAAGTTTAGCCGTGTCGTTATCAGATATAAACACACTCATTGAACATTAATTTCTTTTGTTTTTTCTTTATGCATTATTAATGAGTTTTTGAACGACATATAACTGTTGATGATTCACAAACCCTTTTTTACTCATTGCTCAAGAAAATCTTGAGAAATACTGCATTGCTAGCTATTCTTATTATAAATCTATCAAAAAGCCTTTTAAAACAGAAATAGAAATTGATGAATTCCCACATTAGCCATATATATATATATACACCGTGTAGTCTTAAGAAGTAATATATCTTATGATCTTTAATTAGAAAAAAAAAAAAAAAGAAAAAATAAAGGTTGATTTAGTTTCTTAAAAAGTAATTCCTCTTTGCTGAGAAAGTGAAACATAAAAGTTGTGCTTGGTATATACTGAGTTTGATGATTAAAAACAAATTGTGGCTATCCCAGATTGCAGCCGCTTGTGCCATCATGATAATTCACGCAATTCTCCATTTTCTAACGCATACAACTATTTTTTTGGTAACTGAGCTGGCGGGGGGATACTCGACCAATATTTGGGTAGAGGTGAGCGGCTGAGGGTTTGAAACCCTGACCCTGTTAAGGACAAAAAAACCCCAAAATACATACCCTGTTTAGGACAACACCCTCAATTTAATTACCTTGTTTGTGCAGGCAATACCATCATTATCATCATCAATCTTATTACACGAAATCGTATCACTTTTACATGGTCTTCCGAGGAATCGTGTGTAAAATTTAACTAAAATGCCTCTAAGGAACTACTTGACTACAAATTTAAAAATACAAAAAAAACTTACCTTATAATAAGAGTTACAATGATTCTTGGTGTATTAAAATAATCTTTCCCATGAAATGAAGTTTTAAAAACGTTTTAAGCTAGGCAGGTTTCTAATCTCTGAGAGAATCTTGTTCCACATAACAGATCCTCTGTAGTGTAGGCTCCCTTTTGCAGACTCAGTTCTGAGTCTGGAGACATAATAATTTAACTCAGAATTTCTAAGATTGCGCGTGTGTACATTTGAGGTGTTGGTAAAGATCCGCCTCAGATCATTATGGATTTATCACGGCCATTACTGTTTAAGTCTTATATTTTCCAACCTTTCCCAGCCAAGCTCATCCAACAAAACACTTGAGCGAACCTCATAGAAAAGGTGAAAAGGTGCATCTTTTAAAGTTTGTCTCCTACTCCTTTACTGATATTATCCCATACAGCACTACGGTAATTAAATTTGGCATTACCAGTGTATTGTACACATTCGCTCTAGTATCAAATGGTACAATAGGACTTACACGCTTTAAGATAGCACGACCAGTGAATATTTTCTTTGAAGGCGCGAATAGTAATAATGTGTGGCCGTACCCGTTCAGAGATTCACCAATTTGAACTCCAAGAGATTTATGTTTAATTACTCTTTCTAACGGTGTATTATTGACTTTGACCGTCAAGTTTTTAATTATTTATTTGGGATAACTTAAATTGACTCCCTGTAAGCATATATTTTGGTTTCTTAACATTAAAAGTTAATTTGTTTGCTGACAGCCATGACGGAATTAAATTCACGTAATAATTCGTTTTATGGTCAAGGACACATGGGTCCTCTGCAGATGAGGTAAAAGTAGTATCATCTGCATACATTCTGGGTTTTGAAAACAAATTACATGAAGGGAGATCATAAAATATAAATAGTAAATAAAGGAGGGCCTAAAATAGAGCCCTGTGGAATACCACATGTTAAATTACAGAGATCAGATTGATCTCCATCAGTAAACGTTTGTTGCTTACGGTCAGATAGATAGGGCTAGAAACACTTAAGAGATTGAGAACTGACCCCCATAGAGTTTTTCCCAGTAGGATAGCATGATCCATAACGAATCCAGAAATTAGCATAAATTGGCCAGTAACTATCGCTACGAAAATCAGTCTTGGGGAATGCATGTTTCTTATGTTTAATAAAAAAAGCAAAATGATCTCATCCGGACATAGTTAATAGTAGAGGAGACTGATTATGAAAGGTGGCACGCATCAAATATAAAAAACATCAGGACTCCCGATTATGTTTGAAGATCCCTGACGGTGCACATTCCTTTGGTTTTTGTTCACAGATTGTGCCTAAACAATTTAATGTGTAAATTTACAAATTAACCAAAATGATAGGAACGCTATTTAAAGTTGTGCACCTTAAAAACATGCAACAAAGGAGTCTGACGAACTTCACAATCATCTTACTCTATTAAGTAGCACTGGGTCTGAAACCGCTCATGAGTTAGAATTATTTTGACAAAGGGCGCCCAGAAGAATGGGCAAAGAATTAACACCTGTAGAACTGTTGAAGCAAAGTTCTAAACCTTACCAAATCAAATTGACTTGATTTATCTCATTCCCGGAGTCAGCTATTGGTAATTAGTAAAATCCAACTAGTGGTCTATTATCAATGCTGCGTTCTGACTGGTTGAGCTACTACTAGGCTATATGTTATAGCCTACTAGTAGCGAAAAGCGCGGGCTTTTTGGCGGCAAAAAAGGATTAAAGTCTAGCTTTAACTATCTAAATTTTTTTTGTTCTCGTTATTTTTGACCAACTAGTTGGACTTTACTAAAACAATTATTCCTCTCGCCCTCTCGCCCTCTCGCCCTCTCGCCCATTCGGCCTTCGGCCTCATGGCCTATTGACTCAGAGCCCATTCGGGCTCGAGGAATAATTGTTAAATATCAGCTGTGTCTAACTTTTTAGTCTGTGGATACAACTGCCAGCCCACCTGGAATGTAGCCATTAATCTCTCTTCACCAGACCGTTCACGACATGTATTTCATTTCTTACTGTTTTTCACAAGATGATATTTTGTTGCTTTCTTCAATGGAAGGTTTTAAGACTCTTTTGATTCAAAGCTTAACCCATTCGCCCCAGAGCCGCCCGTAAACGCCCGTGCGGATCACGTCCTTTCTACCGCTTGTGACGTCATCAGTTTCAACGGTCAAAATCACCTTTGTCCGCTAACTTGCGCAGAGTGAAGAGGTCTTTCAAACCATACTAGGATGAGCACAATTCAGTCAAGGACACCGGAGAAAAAGGACAAAAACCATGTAACATTGACCTGAAAATCTTGTTCCATTGCCCACCTACCTTTCCTTTCACCTAATCCTAAGATCCTAAAAGCTTTCCTAAAAACTCTTCCCACCAAAATGAAGCCTACTAAATGCCCAGCAAGAGAAAAAAAAATGAAATTTCGCTTCCTGCGCATGCCCGAACATCGCAAGCTAATATTTTGCATCTGAATCAGAAGGCCCTGAAGTGTACGACCTGTAAACAGTTTTGTGGTAAGTTTTAGCTCTTTATAGCACGACAGTGACCAGAAAACCACTCGACTAGCTTCAAAACGCGTTTTTCGGCAAAATCTCCAGGAGTGAATGGGTTAAGTATCAACCTCTTTTTGTTTGTTTTCTTTGGTTGAACCCAGGGGGGATACTCAACAAAGTTTAATACGGGGATGCTCCACCCCGAGGTCTAACCCCTTTACCCTTTTATATACCATTTTTGAGATAAAGGGTACCCGATTCGTATACCTTCTATTGAGAAATGGTACCCTTTTCACATACCTAGTTTAGAACTCCCCCTCCTTTAACTTCTGTAATTGCAACGTCTTTAAAATACGAATAAATCATAAAACCAGAACGTTTTCTTGACTTTTGCACAGCCGTAAAATGCATCCGTGTTAGCCCTCTTGGGACTTTTTACCGCGACTACCCTTCCAAATACTTCAATAAAGAGAACTCTCTACCCTTTCATATACCTGAAGCCTGGAAAAGGTACCCCTATCGGATGGAGCCTTCTCGCACAGGCCATTATAGGGGTCGAATACTCCTCCCCCACGGCTGGACGCGGGTCAACATTTCATAATTACAGTCTCCTACGTAGTTGTTCTTTAACAACAAAAAGCGAAAACAGATGAAAAGTACCATAAATGATGACGCCCACTCTCAAATAAACACCTCATGTCTAATAAACGCCCCCCCCCCAACTCCTTACTGACACCTTTGACTGTGTATTAGACGTCCCTTTGTATAAACGCCCCCCCCGTTTAATAGACGCCCCCATCGACAATTACTTCACAATGCCAGTCGAAACGCAAGTCACTGTCAACAACAACAGTCCTCTTCAGGACTACGTTCACCCGGACGATCATGCTCCATATGCTTTTAAACTAGTTATGTACACATAATAGACAGGGCGTTCCTTTTTAACTCACTTTATTTCAGTTAGTTTAACGAGGTTACAGGATCCATTACGATTGTACTCTGATTAACATTGTAATATCAGGCTATTAAGGTAAGTTATTATTCATTCAAAATATTTCCCTGATTCTGATTGGCTAAAAGCCCACGCATAATTCACCATAACCAGTTCATGATGACCAAATTTGGAAGAATTTTGTGTTTAATGAGGAAATGACGTCAAAAATGCAGCCCGCTACAGGTTAAGGCACCTTTACCGAGAAGACCTGGGGACGAGATTGAGTTGTTTTGGTTGTGAAAACAAAAAAACGGCGGGCATTTCACTCGTTTCAAGAGTAAGAACTGGGCGAAATTATAGCTAAAAACATGGCAAGAACATCAAGAACACAACTTGAAGGGCGACATCTGGTATTTGGACAATATTTGTGGAGCTGAACAACCTTAACGTGCACTACCGAAGGTGAACTTAACATCGATGGAGGTAAGCTTGTTTTAGCCATGTTTTTAAACTAGGAATTATTTTGAATGAATAATAAAACAGTTATTGAATTCGGCTTTCGTATCATATGAAGAATTATGGAGATCTCGGAGGGTGTTATCCGCCTCGGCCTACGGCCTCGACGGATACACCCTCCTCGATCTCCATAATTCTTCATAAGATACTCAGCCTCATTCGATTCATTAATTGTTAAATATACGTATAATTATTTACTTTCTTTGTTATAATGTTTAAATGGTCATATATAGGGCCGACAAATAAACACTTCTTGGATTAGGTTATTGTGATATCAGGAATAATAACCACTTATTGATCGAGACCTTATCTTATCGATCGAATACTGAATTGTTTTTCATACATTGTTTAAAAACATAACCGCCGACAAATACTGTCGCATGAAACACAATTTGACATTGCTCTTGGAAATCATTCATTGCGCACGCGCAACTTAGGTTGCTGATTTCCTAATTAAACTGTAGACTCTAAGCCAATGAAAAGGCAGATAGTGAGAAAATGTGTGATAATAAATAACAAATCCTTAATAATAAATAGAGTCTCCATGGGAATAAGTAGGGTGTATGAAGAAATGGGAGAAAAAATACACGCCCACAGCTTTCCCAAGGGACACAATCTCGTACCTCGAGTCTTCGTCCCTTACTGCGCATGCGTTGTTCGCCGGTCTTCTCAAAAAGGATTTGTAGAGGTTTTCAATCTGTGTCAAAAGTTGATTAGGCCATTTCCGAATTCCAAAAATCCTTAATTTCCAAAGGCAAAAACTTTCATGTGAAAATGAGTTTTATTTCCATCGAAAAGAAAGACAATTTTCAACGCAAAAACCTCGCAGTAATCTACGCTTGGAGCAAGAGGCTTGGGAAAACTCAGAATGGGCCATATTCCCCGACTGCTTTACTTTGCCTCGCTACGCACTGTGATTGATTGAAAAAAAGGGGTGCCTATGTCTTAAAGTTTCCACCCGATCACCGTACCCTTTGTTGAATGCTGTTTAGTTTAAAGAAATTAAAATTGCTCAGTTTGTTGTTGCTGTTGTTGTTACAAAACAATTAGACAGCCCTATCCGGATGCCATTTCGAAATGCAAGGGTATGCAAAGAAGTGGATTGTATAGGAACTAAGAAAAGACGTGTGCACACAATTAAGCCTGTTCTGGTGTCCATGTAATCGCAGCGATCATATGGAAACCAGGCTTTAGCAAAACAACAACTCTGCAGGGGCATCAAGTTTTTTTTTGTAATTTTATTTGCCGTCACTGCACGACTTACGACGTGACAACAGTGTCCAATTTCACGTTTTATGGAGGACATAAACAAAGGACCAAGAATTTTTTCTTTCTCTTTCTTAACTTAAGTGCGGCCTCGTCATCCAAGAAATCAACTCCTGGGAATTTGCCTACATTTGACATTTTCAGCGGATTGGAATTAACGCGACAAATTTGAAAAAAGGAGAATTCATTTTAAAAGTGACGTTTTCGCTTGCGTCGCCGTCGTCGATGCTTAAGCTCCCCAATGATGTGGGATCCCACCCGTTTCAGTTTAAGTATCCACTTCAGAATTTGAACACGGAACCATTGCCCAAATGCAAGAAACTATGGCACCAGCACAGGCTTAATTGAGTGCACACTTCTTTTTTTAATTCCCATACAATGCACTGCTTTGCATACCCACACTTCACTGCCGTCCTTACATTTCGAAATGACAACTGATTAGGCGACACAGTTACATATCGGGTACCCAAAGAATGAGCAAGAAATAATAATAATAATAATAATAATAATAATAATAATAATTTTTATAAGGATCAAAACAGTTTTCGATCACTGGAAAATTCAGCAAATCAGGGCCGGGTTGTTCAAAGCAGGGTAAAGATAACCCGGGGTTAGTGCGAAATTTGAATTCAGATATGAAAGCTTAAAAAGCAAATTCACTTTTATTCTTTTTGCCTACAATTTGATGATTGGATGCTCTAAAAATAATAGAGAAAATTATCGGGGAAAATGCTTTTGAACAAAAGAATGTTAGCGCTAATCGACCTTCGAACAACTGGGCCCTGGATTAGGAATGCCTGATAAGAACAGTGTGTTTACTTAGGGAAACACGACCATTTGTCAGAAATGGCTGACTGCAGACCAGATCAGTCGTCAGGAGAATTTCACAATAAATCAGGACTATCTAATCGAGCCAGTTACAAGCTTAAGGTATGCACGGCAGTGATGGGTTTGAGTACAACTTTCAAAGACATACAAGTAGTTCATTTTCAGAATGATCGGGTCTGGCCTGCAAGTTCTGAAAGAGCTCTTATTAGGGACTGGTCATTATTTATCGCCGGGGGCGGCGGAGGATTTGGGACTAAAACAAGGTCCAATTTAGCCTATCCCCCCTTTGAATGTTACTTCACTGAAGTGATCCCCCTAATAACATTTGATGACTTTCGCGATCCCCCCCTTCATGTCTTCATTTTCCAAGCAAATTTGAGTGCCCCCGAACCGTTCCCCACCCCACCCCCAGGCGATAAATAATGATCGGTCCTTATTACCTGAAGGTCAAGTGTCAGGCACTTCTCACAGCGTTGACGAGTTTGTGCAAACAATGAACGAGCGCGTTGCGAAAGTACTGCAGCTTCCAACAGAAAATGAAAGGATGAACTGCAGCGCTCAGGGATGTAAAAGATGCGGCAATTTTCACATAGCGCTTGAAAGACGGTGAAGATGGTGGCACAATCGCTGGCAATATGGCAATGGGGGCCCAACACGACACTGTTGCTAACACTGCCATGGCAGCCGTTGTAGCTGATTTGCTCAATACAGGCATTCTTTGGCGCTGGGACCCTGCGGGGTACTGACGGGCAATCTTTTGACTCTCTTGCCTGGCAAAGCAATATATGTATAAGTGGAGACTCACGATGGCTGCCATGAGGACTGCGACGTAGAAAACGTTGTACCACGGTGTGCGTGTGAACGCGAGAGGGAGGGTGAGAGATACTGCAATGAACCACTGAATACAGAACGTAGCGGCGGCGATATACTTCTTGCACATCCAATTGGTGTAGTGGTATGGAAAACGGATATAAATGAAGCGCTCTAGAAAGACGATCAGCTCTCCGTTCAAGGATGCCAAGAAAAGACAAAAGCCCATTACCCCCCTGGCATTTTCGAAAGTTGTACTAGCACCATGATGGATATCCCAGATATACATGGGAACGTAAACAGAGCAGATGAGGGCATCACACACGGACAGACTGATCAGCAATACTGCTGTGAAGCTCTCTCGCAGTTGCTTTGTTGAAAGAACAGCAAGGGTGAGGAGCAAGTTGGAAACAGTTCCTATCGATGAAATGGCGCTACTCGCCACAGTCAAACCAATCACTTCTCCTTCTGACAATCCATAGTGGTCGAACCTGGTGTCGTTGGTTGCAATTGCTGGACTACTAGACATGTCTCAGGATCCAGGTAAGATATCAAGCCGACCTGATTTAACCCTGCTTTTACTGAAAGCGGATTCAGTTTAAGAATAAGTTCCCTGTCTGGATTAAGCAAGGAATAGTCGAGTATCCTCTGTTTCCTAACAGTGATCCTGAATTTTTGCAGCAAGATTTTGAAGTGTTGTTCGATACAAGACAGCTGAAACGACTAAGATGACTTAATGGGACCACACTATTTATCAAACAAGAGAGAATGAAGGAGGTGTAGTGTTATAAACATCCTTAATTGATAATACTTTTTATCGAGCGTTTCCGCGTTTAAATGTTGGGTAGTTAAAAGAGGTGATACTTTATTTATAGTATCATTATTATGTAACTTTTTGGCGAGACTTAGTACGTGGTACCGGTTAGGAAAGTTTTTTTTCCTCTAGTAAACTCTAAGTTTTATCTTCAATAGAAAGAAATTGTGATGAAGTGTATTGCCAAGCCACCCAAAAAATGCACCAAAAATCTAATACAAGGACCGATAGATTGCCCTTATTAAGCATATAAAGTTAAATTTGGACAACAACAGAAACTCTGTTAACTATATGGGATCTGGTTTTCAGTTCGCTATATAACAGGAAGTTTGATTCAGTTATGCAAAGACATCCCCTTTACACTCCCCTTTCACGAGGCTTCATAACTTTTCTTGCATAAAAACCAGAGCTAGTTTGATTCAGTCATTCAAAGACACTCCTTTTTCACGCCCCTTTTGACACTCCTTTTTCAGGTGGCTTCATAACTTTTCTTACATAACAACCAGAGCAGTATCTTGGTTCAGTTATACAAAGGCACTCCTTTTTCACGCCCCTTTTGACACCCCCTTTTCACTCGGCTTCAAAATTTTTCTTACCTAACAACCAGAGCTAGTTTGATTCTATCATTCAAAGACCCTCATTTTTCACGCCCCACACCCCTTTTCAGGTGGCTTTATAACTTTTCTTACATCACAAACAAAGTAACTACACTCTTCGCAAAATAATTTACTTTTTACGTAAAGTAAACCCTTAATATCAACCTCCAATTAAAAAAAGACTTTACGAAATTCAATCTGTTCTCGTGCATCACAAATCAAAAGTTTCAAGAATTGTCCCCAACTTCATTGGAGGGGAAATTTATTGTCCACTTATAGATAAATTGTATTAAACCACCTCCTCTCTTCATAAAACAGAAATTTTGAATCTCAATTTATATCAAAGTCACCATTGTAACAACCCAGTTGACTTGAAGTAGCATTCTTAATTCTCTTGCCTTTGGCTAACCACCAATGTATATTTGGACTAACCTGAGCAACTTGTCTATAACACTAATGAACAAATTCCGGATAGCATCTGTGGTTTCTCTGTGATCCCTTTATTCAACTCCACACATGTTCAATTCTCAAGCCACCCACCATGCCTTCAATTGTTATAGTTTTTTTTTTGTCAAAAAAAAACTCGCTTCTCCATTTGCGTAACATTTTTTGTTAATTTTTTATTCCCAATTAAATTTAAGCAAAATGATCACCAAAAGCAGTTTGTCCAAACAAGTGCCATATGTCAATGTCAGAAATGGAAGGCTTTTCTCGGCCTTTTCTTCCTAGGTTAATTTGACCCAGGTAATTCGATCCCAACTTCCAGCTCTTTGAACGAAGTTATTGAAATGGCGAATTCAAATGAGAATCAGTTTCTCTTTTCTCTTTTCCTTAAATTCGCATAATTTTATTTTTGAATAATTGGTTTGACAACCGAAAAAGGTGATAACAAACCAAAGGGCGATTAAGAGAAAACAGAGCCAGTGACCGGGGAGATGGGGGGCCTTTAACCCTCCCTACCTCGATTTTACAGGAATGACATTTAACTTTGTTTCTGGCGAAATATGCAACATTGTTTAGAGGGAAGGGGAGTGGAGGATTGCAGCCTCCTACCTTTAACTAGAACTGTTACGCCATCCCTGGTTTAACGAGAACAGTCAGTCCGGCAACAGTTAAAGGGCGCTCATTTTTCAAGCCGGGGTTTTAGTGGGAGCGTGGAAAAGCTAAAGAAAGATTAAAAAAAACAAGCAGTAATCAGTAAAAAAGACCAGTTACAAGATCTTGGTTAAGTTTACTAAGTAAGTCTTTTTGAATTATCAATTTGCTTCGAAAGGAACAAATTTAAGCTTTTTCTGCCATGAACAATAATGCCGCTTGACGAGTCGCTTAGGAAATCGTTATTTTTTTTATTCATTCTCATCTGCTCTGATTAATTAGTAAGTTCCTCTCTTAACACATCCTGAACTTATCGTCAATAATATTCAAACCAAAGCTAAGTGATTACGCAGTTTGTATTTCTCATCGTTTTCTGTTTCCATGAATCAACCCAGAAAAATATATTTATTCCATAAATAAGAGAAAAGAAAGCAGCATTTTTGCAACTATTTTTTTGAACATTTTTATTGAGAACAAATTAACAACGTTAATACACAACAATAGTAAAAAAATAAATAAATAAGTCAGTAAGTAAGAAAACTAAATACACAAAAAATAAAATAATATATACATTTAGCCAGGGCTAAAGCGAAGCTGTAGTTAATAATACTTATAAACGGAAAAAAAAATAAATCGTATCAGGCTAAAAGGGGACGGCAATGAAAATGGCATCAAGATCAATGGATCTAATTAGCAAAAAAACAAATCATTGCACGTGCAGCACACTTTTTTTCTAATTAGCAAAAAAAAAACAAATTTGCACGTGCAGCACACTTTTTTTTCTAATTAGCAAAAAAAAAAAACAAATTTGTACGTGTAGCACGCTTTTTTGTCTTCATTTGCCGTTATTTCGCACGACTACAATGCCGTTTTGTACTAGCAAGACGTCAAACGTCCCAGTTACACATTATTTTTATGGAGGAATTGTCGTATGTGCTTACCGAAGATTTTGTTTCCTGTGCTCATGCTCGCTTTTATTTTTTCACTGCCGCTCTTTTTCACCTGGCCGCTAACATTTCTCATTTTCTCACCGCTGCTATACCGCCGCTATGAAATTTTCATGTTTTTCTTTCAACCAAATTCGTGCTCCCTAGCTCTTTCTCTGTTATCCATGCAAGTCTAAACATCAAAAATAACTGCGAAAAAAGACACGACTTTCTTGTTTTTCTTTCTCCCTAAAAGTCCGGGCGGCCATGCGATTTTCTTCCGGCATTTGGGTTGCCATACCTGTTGATTGAGTTACTTTATATTGGTGTGCCTGTGGTGCAGACGGACGATCGGTCGGTAGCTCGGGCGATGTAGGGTCACGTGATTACCAAATTTTCTAGGATGGGTAGATTTACTTAGCTATAGCGCGCGAGGAGCTCCGCTAAAATAAATATGACAATAGAAATAAAAAGTATTGGCAGGAGCCCAGCCAAAGAGAAACAAACTTTTTTAAAAAAAAATTAAAAAGAACACCAGGATTTTTACACTTATGATTTTGCGTCATCCTAATAGGCCCTTTCCAGCTTGCTAGTCATTCACGTGGTACAAAACTGCCAAGGGACGCTCTGGGACAAGAAACACAAAAGACTTACTTCATTTTAAATGGTAATTTACCACGTGTATGACTGGCTGCAAAGGGCTTGTTTTGAGCAACAGCCCACGTTTGATCTCCGGCATCAAAATTACAACATGACTACGAGCAGGAGATGGGCTCCTGCTACGAGGCTTTGTAGTCATATTTCTATATTTGGCGTGGTTTTCCTTGTGCTCAAGTCTCTTGCGAGACAACGGAGTGGCGAAGAATTGCAATTTTCTCCGCAAAGCCTCAGATTCATGTTAGAATTGTAATAGATTCTCACCGGGAGCCCCCACTCGCAAACAACCCGCGGTGGAGATGAGTTATGGGAAGAGGCGACCCCGGAGGCGGGAAGGAGCGTGAGCTAGGCGCCAGGGTGTGCCATCGCTGCGGGGAGGTGGGTGAGGCGACAAACTAGATGTCTGGTGTCCGTTTTAACGAAAAGAGCAAATAAACAGCATAAAAACAGGTCAATTAAGTAATGGTCCAGATAAGAAGGAAAGGACCAAAACGCAGTGAACACGTCGGAATGCAAAAAGGTGCTAACTTTACTATTGTCTCTACTAAGGTTCTGATTGGTTTAAACATCAAATTTTACGAAATCTTCGCAAAGCAGCATGTACATCAATCCTTTTTTTTCTATCCAACTTCCTTATAACAAAATCTCGTCTGAGTCTAAGTAACACAGAAATCGTATGTGCGGATCATGTAAAATTGTGAACATTTCTTGGCCATTGTTTGCAACTCTTGTGATTGGATTACACACGGGTAGTTCGTTACAACCGAAGCCGAAAGGGTTTGAGGATGAGAATGCCGTGTGCCAGGTGTTCGAAAGGGAAAGTGGGAGAATTAGCAGCGCAAAAACCAGAGGGTGAGTGATTTGCCCTTCTTACACTTCCAGTTCCGAACGCCGTAGTCAAGAACTCTTGTATAAATGCGTGGAAGTACTCTCATTTCCTAGAGACATGATAGAGAACATCTGATCAGACGCATGCGTAGGTGAGAAAAAGAAAGGTCTAAGCAGGAAATCCAGATGCTCCCTGTGGCCTGTGATCATTTTTTTTGTGTGTGGGAGTGTTTAGCAGGCAGGGAAATGGGGGACTACCGTATGTCCCTTCCCCTTTAACCGTCTGATTCCCGCCCGGATCAATACTCACTGGGGATCTTAAAATAAATAAAGTGCTGTCTTTGTTTCACTCCTGCTAGACTGCAAGCAAGCTCTCCAGGAATATGGATATTAAATTCAATAATCCAATGTACAGAGTACTTCCCATTCAATTTGGGTGAGGATTGTCCTGGTAAGAAAAAAATACACACACAAACAAACCCAGCTTACTTCTACAAATTGTTACCCCCATATTTATTTTGTCTTTCATTTTACAGCCCTAACTAGAGTGTTTAAGTTTTTGTCAACAACAAAAATATCGTGCAGCAATTAAAGTCCTCTTAATCTACCATCCAAAAACTATATGTAACTGTACCGAAGTTGCACTAAGGTACAATAATTAATGTGTACACTTACTAACAGACAGTGTTACATGAAACTTGGTTGTCAGCAGTGTAATAAATATCAAATTTAATAAAAAATATTTTCAAGAGTCTTAAAGTTGACTCATTTGATGTGTGCAGCTTCTAAAACAATGCTACCCTCAGTTACCATATATCAAATTCCAGTCATATCCACAAATAAGAACAAAATGTGACCAAATCAAGTCAAGCTGCATGTATCTTACTTGCAGGCACGGATCCACACAAGACGGAAATCAGTCACGTTTTTCATAATAAATATATTTTAAACAATAAAAACATTTTCCAAGTTGAAATCTGGCCAATGTCTTGTCTGAATGACTTGGAAACCCAGGAAAGGGGGCTTTAAGGAGCAAAAATCCCAAACATTTCCTGGGGGAGCCCGTTCCCCGACCCCACTAAAAGCTTGAGCCTTCAGCGTTCGTTTAGGAAATCAGTCAGTCTTTATCCTAGATCCGTGCCTGACTTGTATGCACAAACTGATCACTTATCCAAAGCAGACATAATATTGATGTTTGTAAAGTTAATTGCCCTTTCAATTCCTAAGCACTTAAATTAAGAACATTTGTGACCTTGGTTTCACATAAAAATAAACTAAGACATTGTCTATTCACTTCTTTTTTCTTGATATACGAGACTAAGCTATTCCAGGCATTCAGGGATGGAAAAGGGAGAGCACAAGAATTAGGATAGACAAAAAAGAACGCTTGACTCTGAACGCCATATTGAAGCCAAATATCTGAATGCCAGAAACATCCTTGGATATTAAAATAATCACAATATATCGGCATAATATTATCCTTTTTTGTTACAATAAAGACACATAGAGAAACCAAGAAGAATCACGTGAGCATGGCTGAAACTCGACAAATAACTTAAATCCTACAGTTGTCTTACTTTTTATAAAACAAAATTAGCTCACTGAATTCTTCTTGGTTGAATCACTTTATTACATTTTACAAGTTATTATAGGCAGCATAGTTCTGTACTTCAACTGTAAATAGTATAAATTGCTGATTAAATAATAAATGTGTTGAAACTTAGATTGAAAATCTTGTTTGATATAACCTGTTAGCAGTCCAGCATTTTGACTGAGAAATCACTGCTTGCAGGGTATATTAATGATTGTTATATCTTAATCATTATACACCATTATATTGTTAAACCTGTATTAACCCTTGTAAGTATCTACTAAGCCAATGAATACAGGTTTAGTTTACACGAAATAATATGGAAAAAAGTATGGGTCTTAGAAAAATAATATAAGACTGCTCTGTCCTATCCCAGGGCATTGCATTATGCTGGTTTCACTGTATTTAAGGTTATATTGCAAGAGTCATCCTCTTTGTGGGTACATCATCATGTATCTAAACATTGAACCTAATGGAAAATATCACAAATGTATGAAACCTTCATTAAAAGTTTTCACAAACTGAAACTGTCAAAACAGTATTAAGTGAATTGTTTTTTTTGCAATTATTAGAACTCAAATCTTTTTGAGCACTGATAGGTCAAATTTAAAATGATCATAAAAAAGGATGTCAGATGCTGCCACTGCGATCTGCATTCATGTGTACACATAACTTTCAAATGAACAAAAATTAAAAATATTGACAAAAATTAAGGGTCTGATTTTTTGAAATTGAATCTGGAAACTGCACGGTCACATAATGGCTTCCAATAATTATGACATGATGCAATTCTCCATAAATTGTTATAAATTGTTTTAGAATGCAAGGATTGGCGGATAATCTTTAAGTGCAACAAAACCACTTATTCATCTTTACATTGCAATGGAGTCAGTACAGAGAGTAAAAAAAATAATGACAAAGTCAAATTCATGCATAATGGCTTATTCAGATACACAGAAAGCCACAGAATGAACCCCTATCGCTGATTATCCTTAAAAAAATGTTATTAACCAGCCCAGTTATAATAGTACAATACTCTTAAGGACACCAGACCAATCTACATGTAACATACCCCATTTATATCAAACAGAAATTCCGTCTTCCTTGGCACTACATTATACTGAGGTTCTGCTGTATTTTTCATTTCACTGCTGTTTTGTATACAGTCTATGTACTTTGGTTGGTTTAAAATAATAATAATAAAGATCTAAACTGTCAAAAAACCACTACCTATGATGTAGTGTACACAGGGCAGTCACTATAAAGATTTGACGCTGCCAGGTATACATGTATGCATTTAAGGGACAGGGAATTGAACAGCTACGGAGTTCTTTTGTTTTTTTTTTCCTTTTGCTTCCTATGAAAGAAGCTTGACGAAATTCCTGGCTGCCAGCCCTTAGTGTCAGCCCTGCTACATGCAGACCAAGACAGTACAACTTTATTTTATGTTGCGAACATCCCCACATTACACTACCTCAGCAAGATGTGTCTTTCCTTCTACCACATTCCACAGTTGCCCCTCCTCACTCTCGTCATCATCATCACCTTCAGCGACTATTCCCAGATTCTCCAGAGCCTCAATAGCATACGACTCTCTTGCTTTCATTGTGGCCTCTATCTTCAACCACAACATCTCTTCATCCACTTCACTAGGAAAGTTTTGGTTGTTCACACTTGCTGAATTATCTGGCACAGCATCTCGATCAGTTTCAGGAGAATGCCTCTTGTTGGTAAAAGAGAATAATCAAAAAGGGAACTAAGGTCATGATAAAAGATGTGGCTTCACATTTATTTTCCATTGTTTCCAACTCATTATCTTACATAACTGTACCAAAGAACAATAGGAAAAAAAATTCAAACCCAGTATAAAAATAAACCACAATAGTTACATTTTGCTGCCAATGACATGGCTACCATGTGACTATAAAATAAAGAACTTAAATGGACTGTACGAGTGCTTAACAAATTGACGCCAGTTTTTTGTGTGTCTGTCCTCTTATTGAAAGGTGATACAGCAATCTTGACTTCAACTCCTCCCCTGCTTTCTCACCTCCCCTCTTCTTACACTTTTCTCAATCTGTTTTCTTTTCCTTTTCTTGGGCATTTACTAGGCTTCATTTTATTAAGAAAAGCTTTTGGGAAAGCCTTAAGGATTGAAGGATTAGATGGAAGAAAGTGCAGTTGGGTAGTGGAACAAGATTAGGGTCAACTTTTCATGGTTTTTCCCATTTTTCTCCTGTCTCTTTGGTAGAATTGTGCTCATTCTGATATGGTTTCAAAGACCTCTTCCCCCCGTCACAAGTAAGATGACAAAGTTGTCCTTGGATTCACATAAGTGGCTACAAGCTGTTCAGCCGGGAAATGGGTTAATGTTTTGAGAGGCAGTTTTAAAAACTTGAAGCTTGACCTTCTCTTTTAGTATACAAATTAATATCCAGTAGGCATGCACTTCACAGAACATCACATCACCAAAAACTCAGCCGAAGTAGCCGTACATTAATGGGGCGCTTAGGCAAAAAAGACGGATATAGCAATGAAAATGTCACTTGAAAAATGAATATGCTGCTTCAAACCTTACTGCACTTATTCCATTTCATTCAGTTTGTCAATGTTGGCAAATTTTTCTGCAATTGAATTCTGAAAGACTGCATTGAAGATGAGGAAAAGAAAAAGAAAGTCATTGTCTTGCATTCACGTCCTTCACAAAATGTGAGATTTGGCAGTTTCATGTTGTAGGCATGCAGTGGCGGCAAAGGAATGTACCAAAAAGCGTGATGCATGTGCAAAGTTGTCATTTTGCTAATCTAAACCTATTGCTTTCATTGCAGTTCTCATTGCCATCGCTGTCGTTGCTGCTTAAGCTACCTAATACGCAGCAAATGTAATCAAAACAACCAAAGGATGATAAGCCTGCAAGTGAACAATAAAGGATATAAAGATGATGATATTCTTACCACAGTAGCTTCAGCATTTGTCAAGTTTTCAGTTTCCACAATTTGATCTGTTCCATTTACACTGTGGTTCTCTTTATTCAACGTCACCGATGAGTCTTCTTTATACTGAAATAAAACAGCTTCGTTTTCATGTTCACTGTTTGTAGATCCAATTGGAGTGAAAGTTGAGTCAGGCTGTAAAGTTATTAAAGGAGGTACTACATGTAACTCTGAAGTTTGCTCTGTTGATGATTTATTCTCAGAACTAGGCAGTTCAGAAGAATCTACTCCATTTAAATCTGTATCAATGGGAGCAAAGCTGTTCTCATGCTGAGTATTTAAACTGGTAATTTCTGATTCAAGTTTCACTTCTTCCGAAGGTTTGGATTCGTTATTATTCCCTTGCTCTTCCTCTAGCCCATCATTATCTGCAATATTATGACTTGATGAACCCTGACTGCCTTTCACCTTCTGAAGGATTTCGTTCACTTTACGCTTGGTGTCATCCGGATCAAGTTCCTTTGCCTCCTGTACAACAAAAAAAGAAACAAGTTAAGTCTGAATGTTTACTCAGATTTAAACGTAGCATGTGCAGTAAGGGTGCTTACCATGACCAAATCATTAGCTATTTTCTCAAGCCCTGCAACACCATGACAGCTGAGCTGTCATGTTGCTGCCTTTGCCTGATGAAATTTGTCCTAGAATTAATTAATCAATGACTGATGTCAATGACATAATTATTTTCCAAATTGGGACACTAAAGGTATGTTAAGCCACAGGAATCTATTTCATCCTGCGCTGGTGCATGACAAGAATTGCATAGCACATGATGCAATTGGCAACATGCAAAGGGTTGCAATTTACTTTTGAGTGGAACTGTATCTGGAAGCTACAATTTCTTGTAGGAAGATGAAAAAAGTTACCCACCTCAGTGGTTGTTGGGCTTGCTGTTTGTCTTGTTCTGCTCATAATTTGCTCCACTCGCTGAAATATTTGTATAGAAAGAGGTGTGATTTGCATGTATTTACATTTCAGTGTACTACACAATATATCTCTAAATAGAGCTGACCCACTAGTGCTTATTGTAGATTACCTTAAGATATAAAGGGTTAGTGTCTATAAAGTTGAACAACAGCATACACATTAGAAATTTTTATCTCTCTGCTAGTATCAGTTTTCACTCAGAAAGTTACATGTGGGACTATAGCACTGCGTGTAGGCTCTTGACTCATAAGTTTGCAGGGTTCTTGTTAAGTGCCAGCAACCGACTACTTTGAGGTCCAAGCCATCTACTTTTGCGGGAAAATGGGTAAAGTGAGGAAGTGAAAGCCTCAAATTGCCTACAGCACTTGATTGTCAAGCTGCCTAAATTTTTTTTTTTTTTTTTTTTTAATGTTTATTGATAATCACATTAAATAATTACATTTACAAAACACACACACACACACACACACACAAAAAAAAAAAATTGTCAAATTATTACAGGAGGTGTTACAGGGCTAAAAGAAATTGTAAAAAAAGTACAACAGGGCAATGAAATAATACGGAGGTAATACAGTTAACTTAAATAAGGCGTCAGTATCCACTTTCTTTTAAAGAATTCTTTGTTGCTGATTTTTTCTTCTGTTTCATATTTAGCAATGATCTTGGCTTTAAATCCACAAATGTTTGGAAGGATTTGTTTGCTCCTGCAGTCCCACAAATAGAGTTTTCCAATAATTATAAAATAGTTCAGCAATTGAAGTAAAGGGCAAGCATTTTCCGTCAAAATTCCAAAGAGCACATTTTCCAAGTGATGGACAAAAGTCAGATCATTATACATTTCTGGGAAACTGTGCACCTATGCCTCCCCTAAGCCCACATTTTGCCTTAAGTGAGAAGTAAGTGTTAATGTTGGTTTAGGGGAGGGGTAGGTGGGCAGTTTCCCAGAAAAGTATAGTGATCCCAAAATCTTGGGACTCATTTGCATTTGTGGGGCTTTCTTTAACTCACACATGCCCAACCCCTCCCCCTTCCCAGCCCACAAACAAGGTCGAACGCGTGTTTCCAGAATTTTTCCTAAGTTTCAACTTTGTATAGGTTGGGGGGAGGAAAAACTGCAAGATATTTTCAAAAAGGTTGCACTTTTTTATGAGGGCACCTAGAAATTACAGAAAACCACGAATACTGCATTACTGTCCCACAGACTTTTGCCCAGGATTGTAGCTGTCTTTAAAACTTTATGAGAATCCTGAGTTTGTGAAGAATATTCACTACATGTTGTGCTGTCAAGTGTCAAATGTACAAATATACGTAAATTCTCACCCTCTTCCTCTCCAACCTTGCAGCTTCTTCTTGTTTACGCCTTTCTTCATCCTCTTGAGCCCTCCTTTCTGCCTCATCTCTTGCTTTCTGTTCTTCCTCCTCTTTACGTTTCTTTTCAGCAGCAGTTCTCTCAACCTCTTCTTGCTCTTTTCTCTTCCTTTCCTCTTCTGCTGCCTGTAGACGCTCTTCTTCCTGCTTTTGAAGCAATTCCGCAAGTTCCCGCATCCTTGCTTCTTCCCTGGCTTCCTCTTCAGCTCGTATTCTTTCTTCTTCTTCCCTTTTTAATCTCTCCGCCTCTTGTCGCTCTTTATCCAAAGCAGCCTGTCTCTCGGCCTCTTCTCTAGCCTTTTTTCTTCGTTCTGCCAGTGCCTGTTTGGCAGTGGCCTCATCAGTAACTCCAGCTTTTGGTTTTGTTTCAGTTTTATGGCTTTTTTCTGCTGTACTTTTATGCTTTCCAACATTTTGTATCGAGCTGGTAGAGTGTGATTTTGTTAATTTTCCACCAGGAGGTAACAGTGATTCATGGCTGACACTATTTCTTGTCTTAGACTTGTCCAGTGTCTGAGCTGAAGTGTTCGAGGATGTTCGTGGTCTGGTCTTTGTACCAGATGATGGCCTTGCCTGCAAAGGCCCGCCACTAGCTCGACGATTTGCTACAGTACTGGTGTCTAAATTACTTGCAGATACTGACCTACCAGCCCCTAAGGATGGTTTAGGTTGTAAGTTGGGGATTGACGCAGGAGATTCTTTGGGGGTAGAACCTCCTGATAAACTCCCAGCGCTACTTCGATTGGGGCTTTTAGCAGGATTAGCACTGGAGGGTCTCGTTAAAGGCTTTGGCAACGAAGATGGTCGCGAAGGCGCTTGAACAGCACTGCCTGGTCGCTTAGCAATAACTTCTGTAGGTACATTTGGGAGTTTTCTACCAGAGCCTGGCTTTAAAGCTGAACTATTTGATTTAGGAACACTATGTTTGTCCACCTGTTGTTTAAGTGTTGTCCACCTTTCTTTCTCCTCATCCTCTTTTTTTCGCCTTCTTTCTTCGAACGCCAACCTACGTTCTTCGTTCTTTCTCCTCCTCTCTTCAGCTTGCTTTTCTCGCAAAAGCTTGACCTTGCTTTGTCGCGGATCAGGCGCGGGACCGTATCTATCTCCTGACAAATTCTCAGCAGAAGCAGACAGTCTCGCTGAATTTGTCCTGCTTGCACTGGCCGGCCTAGATTGTGCCGAGTTCATCGAACTAGAGACAGTTGATGATGAGTTTGCAGATTTACTCGAATTGGCTGCTGACTTATCGGCGGTAGGAGACGAGGCTACAATGAAAAACAAAACGCACAAAGTTTACCACAAGGAATTGAAAACCTTTCAAGATGACTGTCAATACAAAAGGTACCTTTCTTTGCTCGAAATGCCTCCATAGACATTGGTTCACGATTTGATTCAGCCATTTAACGTCACGGTGCGAGGTGTGCCGTTTTATTTTTCAATTCAATAAAACACACTCGATGTTGAAATAGTTTTGCCAGCAACGCCTTGAAGGTAAATAATTGATAGAGCAAACGAATATGGAACGCAGCAACAGCATATCCCTCACATTTTCCAGTTTTCACACCTGAAAATCGTGCGTAAATACCTTATAAATCAAAATGGAATATTGAATGACTGTTTTTTCGTTCCAAATTTTTACGTAATTTTTGGGTCTCCTTCTTCCCGAACCAATCACAACAATTAATTTTAAGCACGTGGTCCATTAGTTTTGCCGCTGTAACAATAGTGTGCTGGCTCGTATCCAGGACGCCATCTTGTTTTCAAGAGTTCACATGTCTTCTCAACGTTCTTGTTAACAAATTTTTGTCTCGGTGGAGATCGGAAGGGGAAAATTATGGAGACCTTGTTGGAACAGCAAAGAAGGATTCACGAGGAAAGAGAAAGATTGGAAAAGGCCATGGCAGAGGAAGTATTACACAAGAAACAATCGGTAAGACGAACTTTGATGTGCTAGCTAGCCTTGGTACAAATGAAAATAGCTAGGTATAGTAGTTTAAACAGAACTTTGTGTTTCGGTCAGTTCCAGTTGGAAGAAAAACAACAAAACCCATGAAGTAAAATAACAGTAGAGAAAGTTTTTATTTGTGAAGTTCGCAGTGATTTCTTATCAATGATTTTCATTCATCTTACCTAGAATAGTTAATGTTGTCACCCTTTTTG